TTTAGCATAGTCTGCAAATTACATAGTTTTAAGATTTACACAGTAATCTGGTAGGTCGTTAATAAAGACCAGAAAAAACAAAGGCCCCAGTATACTACCCTGTGGCACTCCACTGGTAACTTTTTCTCTTGAAGACTCTTTGCCATTTATTCGAACAATCTGATGCCTGTTGGTAAGGTAGGACTTGATCATATTTAAAAGTTTGCCCCTGACTCATGTTGAAAACAATTTTCGTAACAAAATTCCGTGATCAACTCTGTCGAAAGTTTGCTAAAGTCTGTAAAAATAATTTCTGTTTTTTCTCCATTTTCGATTTTTTTATATATTTCATTTAGAAAGGTCAGGAGTTGTTGAATTAATGGCCGGTTCTTTCGAAATCCGAATTGAGATTTGTCTAATTGTAATGATCATATAGTCGAATGAAGACAACTCTTTCAAAAATTTTAGAGGGCAGAGATAAAAGAGAAACAGGTCTATATTTTTCTAGGTCTGCTTTATTACCCTTTTTGAAAACCGGACTGATTATTGCATTTTTCCACAAGTCTGGAAAGAAAAAAGTTTGTAGAATTTTAGTAAAGATTTGAAAAAGTGAATGGGAAATCGTTTTACTACATTTCCGAAAACGTACTGGTGGTAGTTCATCGGGCCCTTTACTTTTGTTGATATTTAGTTTTTCGCATATGCTTTCAATTTCAATTTCTCCGAATGTTAGGTTGCTTAGAAAGCGATTCTTTGAACAATCTTGAAAGGACTCATAAAATTCAGAAGATTGTACGTAATTGGATGCAAAAAACTTCGAAAATAGTTGGGCTTTGTCACTGTCGTTTTCTGCTTTTTAATTTTTATAAAAAAACAAGGCTGGGAATATTTGATTTTTTGAAGGCCCTGAAATACTTAAAAAGCTTCCCAGTTGATGTCTCGGCTGCTAGATTTTCTTCATATTCTATCTTGTCATTTCCACAGCATTTTTACAGCATTGATTTCAGTTTCAGAACCTTTGGATGCATATCTTTTTATCTTCTTCTTGCTGTCTTAAGACATTTAATTAGATGAGATGTACTCTGGCTTATCCAAGGTGGCAGAGAAGCTCGATGCTGGGTTCTTTTCGGTATAGTTTCATTCAGAAAAAACATTCAGCCAAAGGTACCAATTTTCAACAATGCAATTTGGGTTTGACCAGCAAAAGGAATTGAACGGATTTGTTGAAATAAGGCGCATTAAGTTTTCATAGTCTCTACTACAAAAACTATACACACCACTTTTTACATAACATCTTTTTATATTGTTCTGCCCTATAGCCGAAAAACTAAGATGAATTGGGTAGTGATTTGACATTTTGGTGATTTGACATTCGTCGCTGGTAATTTGCTTTAAATTTACAGACTCTAAGTTATCGCTAACCAAAATGAGATCTAATATACCGCTTGCTGCTGTATTAAAGTCGTTTTTTTGTTGAAAGTTGTTTTCTTTGATTATGCTCAAAAACTCTCGCTCCAAAAAACTTTCTGAAGATAAGCTACACCAGTTAATCGTGGAAAAATTGAAGTCGCCGTAAATGATAATATCATTGCAATTTCTTGTCAGCTGATTTATGTTACCTAACTGAAAATTCTTGTTAGGTCTTCATTTGTATACGCAAATTTACTATTTGCCGGAGGGTTATAGCAACATACAATCAGAATTTTCTTTTGATTTATATTAACGTAACAAGCAACTGCAGAACCGTTTGTGTCAAAATCGAAAAAGGCTTGTTGGGAGTTATAGCTTGATTTAACGCATATCATGGTACCACCATGGGCTTTTGTTTTCAATGGCGATTAAAGGTTGGAGCGAAAACATTGGTATTCTGGTAAAAACAGCTCTGAATCCGTTTGTTCATTTATTAACCAAGTCTCTGCTGCGCAAACAAAATCATATGGGTTAGCTATTAAAAAGGTTGAAAATTCTTAACGTCTTGATAATTTAAACAAACTCCGGATATTGTAACACATAGCTGAAAATTCGAATTTTGAATCATTTATTCAGTTGGAAATGTCAATTAGCCTGTTTTTCAAGTATAAAACGCCTTTTCGTATCTTGATATCAGTTCATGCTGTTCCTCCGTTAAATAGCTCTCTGCGTTTTTTAATAAAGATTGCTCTTTTTGCTTGCTCTTCTTTATTTAACGATTTCGAAATAAAAATCGAGTATTTGTTTCCCATATACTCCGGTTCGTACATTTTTAAGTTGGGGGCGCGTGCGAGTATTTTTTTCTACTGATCTAGTCGCCGAAAAGATGAAATTTCAATTGAGTTTAATCCCAAATTTTCAAAAGCACTTCGTATCAGTTTTTCATCATGCTCAAAAACTTTTGAACGATCAACCCTATCTGTACTTTCATTTTCCGCATCCTTATATTCAGGTATACCACTGAACCTTAACTCATGGTCATAATCAATTTTCGTTTTAACAACAACGCTATACTTAGCTACGGTTTGCTGGGGCTGTCTACATGAGAGAACTTCCTCCACCATAGTCCGAGTACTTTCCACACTCTCCTTGAGCTCCGTGATATCCTTGCTCAATTCCTTTGTATCAATTGCATCAATTGGAGGGTTCTGTAGACAGCTGTTTCATGTAAAGGTCACATTTGTTCACTCCAAAAACTTGAACTCATCCTTCGAATATCCCATGAAAATATTTTGTGTTCACCTCTGACACTTCTCGCATAAGATCCAGTTCTCCCCTTTCGACATGTTACATATGGTGCAGCACTCCTGCTGCTTCGATGCTAGTCGACTTCTAGCTGACGATCCAGGCATAACTTTATATGAAACTATTTAATAAATTACGGTTCGATCTTGAAATTTCTGCTTGTCCAGTTCTATTCGTGTAGTCAATAAGATTTTGTTGAGCAATAATTGCGTTTTTCAATTTGTTTGTCAGCTTAACATAGTTTTCGTAGAAACAAGACGCACATTCTGTTGGATTTGTCAGACCTAAACCACCAGCTGAGCATGGCAATGCATGATGTCCCGTTCTAGATCACTGAGAGTTCTGTCGACTAAAAGAGAAATAACGTTCCTGAGTTTGGCTTCAAATGACTGCATGTGCAGTTCAGAACCAGGAATAGTCCTCATTATAAAATTCCACCGACTCTGGGCAGGGATTTCAATACAATATCAATATATTGAGCTCAATATCAATATCTTCCATTCAATATCAATATCAATATCAAATAGGATGAAATTTCAATATCAATATCAATATCAATATCTAAAAGCTCAATATCTCAATATTATCACTATTTTAAGATACCAGAGATCAAATTCAATATTGAATTTCGAAATATATAATTAAATTTGTTTAGTTTTTTTTGCAATGTAATTGTTTTTTGTTTAATTTGTTTAATTTTAATGCTTGAGTGAGTTGAGTTGACTGTTTGACTGTTTGACTTAGTCAGTCCATTGAGTTATCTTGATTTTCAGAAACTTTTTATCACCATTTGTTTTATGTGTATGTGTTAAAACGTCACGTTTCAAGCAATGATACAAAATCCGTTTTTCTCAATATCTACAAAAAATTCAATATTAATATCAATATCTAGCCTTCAATATCTCAATATTAAAAATTCAATATTGACATCGTCTCATTATTCAATATCTGATCATTCAATATATTGCAATCCCTGACTCTGGATCACCTTGACGAGAGCAACATAGGCAAGATGGGGCTCCTTTTTCGCCGCTGCTTCCAGCGAAGGCAACTCATTCGACCAATCTTCAACTTTGTTTCGTAGATAGTCGTTGGTGAAGTTCTGGCTGCCTATTGCCGCTCCCAAGTATGGACGTCCTTCGCTTGTGATGTTGATATTCGTGTTCTCAAAGACCTGCTTGGCTTGCTCTCGGAGACCCTCGCTTTTTATTACTAACCAACATTTCGACGGTTCCGGAAAATACCCAAGCTTGGGGCCGATACTGGTCATAAGATCAAACTCTTCACGGAGTTGAACTAGCTTCCCAAGGCCTCCGGCGTCGTCAGCGAACCACTCTTGATGACACCCAATTTTGTTTAGACTGATAAGTTTTTTCAAGCTCAGCGCATAAAATGCCATCGCTAAATTATCTCCTTGAGTGGTGTCTTCCTGTGATAAAATTTCTTCTCCTTCGCCTAGAATGAGTCTAGCTGGCAACCGATAAGTATTGATAAGATAAGTGCTGATTTTTGGGCATATATGCCTCATGTTAAGAAGGGCGGTTTGACGATTCAGTCTGTTAAAAGCATTCTCAGCATCAATCAATAGAACGGTTATTATCATTATCAATTCAATATCTAGAAAATTCCAAGGATTTTGACTGGAATACGTGATGAAGGGACTCCTGACTGTAACCTCGGTTACTATGATGTTTTTGACCTTCTGATTACCCTAGGCTAGAAAAGATTAATAAAAAAAGAAAAAAAAAATGGAACAAGCTACATGATGACCAAATTAATTTCAAAATTATACTTACGTACAGAAAAGCAAAACAACTTCTAAGGATTATTAGCGAACTGTTAGAAATGCGATTTTATTTCAGAAACCACAGACATCAACCTTCTGGATGAAGTTCACCAAGCCAAGCGTAAAATTCACGATCATCTTCTGACGAAACTGCACAGTACTTTTAACCCTTAACTCGTGCACATTCTTTTAAAAGTGTAAATGTCCTTATTGTCGCTCTTAATCTCGGGTCACGGGTATTTGTAGTCTGCTAGCACCATAATTGGGTAATAAAGTCTTTTAGTGGTTATCTACTATTAATTAAAGAAGATCCAACAGTGGCAACCTATGGAAAAACTTCATGGAGATGGAATATCTGACATACACTTACATATTTGAAAATGTTTTCATTTAGAAATTAGAGTGTTAATTTTTTATTATCATTTTGTGCTACTTGTAGATTAAGCGGCTGTGCTTGTTTGGTAATGCTATTGTTCTATATTCCTCATTCTGTAACCTATAAAATCCAATAACTGATTTCAGAGTTATGGATAACCTCGACAAAAACCTTATGCAAGGAAAAGACAACCCAGCTGCGAAGCGTCCTCGAATTGACAGGCTTGCGGAAAATATGGGATCTGTTGTAAAGAAGCCCGATAAAGTCGAAAAACCAATAGTCGCTCTTCTCGATGGACGTGACTGTACTCAAGAAATGCCCATTTTGAAAGACAACGCGGTTCTCGCGTTCTGTGATGCCACAAGTACTTCCGAAATCCACCAGAAGGTCAGTGAGTTGACGGATAAATGGATATATGTAATTTGGATTACATAACGCAACATCTAAGTTTTGAAGCCCAAAGAGTACTTCAATTATGAATATTTCGCTATTTTAGTGAAACCATATGGGTTTTTTGATGGTGAACAACAGAATTGGAGGACTTGCCCTAGCGTTTAGTGCTTATTGTACCTTCTTGGTCAATAAAATAAAAAAACTTAATTCCTAATTTAGTCAACAATTTATCAAAGTTTATCAAAATTGCCTATCAACTGAACTTTTCATTCAATCAAAAACGGGAAACGTGAGCTCATTTTTTCATATCTAGGTCTTGAATGAAGCTGTTGGAGCTTTAGTCTGGCATTCTATCACCCTAACCAAAGAAGATCTACAAAAATTCAAATGTCTGAAGATAATCGTGAGAATTGGAAGCAGCTTTGATAACATAGACATTAAAGGAGCCGGCGAGCTAGGTGAGAGCAATGGGTTCAATTCATCTCGCGTTTTCCCCGTTATTTCAAAAATTTATAATGTTTGTGAGTTTTAGGTATCGCTGTGTGCAATATTCCCAGCTATGGAGTAGAGGAAGTAGCTGACAGCACATTATGTAATATTTTGAACTTGTACAGAAAAACGTTTGAGCTGGCTTCCAAAGTTAAAGATGGAGTGAAGTTCCCCAGTATTGAGAGCATCAAAAGTGCAGCACAGGGTTCACAAAGGATTCGCTATTCCGTTCTCGGTTTGATTGGATTAGGTGAGAGTCTGTTTAAAATTATTTTATCTTATCGATTTAGAAACAATTAATGTCGGGCAATCGTTTTCTAAAGAATAATGATTTCAGGTCGCGTGGGGACTGCAGTTGCACTGCGTGCGAAGATGTTTGGTTTTGAAGTCATTTTCTACGATCCTTATGTGGTGGACGGGATTGAGAAAAGCCTGGGAATTACACGAACTGACAACCTGGACGAGATCCTATCTAAAAGTGACTGTATATCACTGCATTGCACTCTGAACGAACATACACATCACCTGATTAACGATTCGGCTCTCCATCGCATGAAAAAAGGCGCGTTTTTGGTCAACACTGCTTGTGGTGGCTTGCTGGATGAACACGCTGTGGCAAATGCATTGAAACTCGGCGTATTAAAAGGAGTGGCTCTTGATTGTTTGGAAAATGAGCCCTTCTGTCTGACCGACAGTCCGCTGAGCCACGCCCCCAATGTCATTTGTACGCCAAATTGCTCCTGGTTCAGTGACAAAAGTTGTATTCAAGTGCGCAGAGAAGCCGCACAAGAAATGCTACGAGGACTCACATCCAAAATTCCCGATGGCCTCAGAAACTGCGTCAACAAGGTCAAAGTGTTAGATTGTATTTTAGCATGTTTGTTAAGATGGGTCAAAATCAATGTTTCTACTCAAATTCTGAATTTGTGGCGGGCTATTGAGAATAGCTATTCGCAAATTGTTTTCTATTTACTTTCTCTTTGACTGTCGGTTATAATGTTTTTTTTCCAGATTGTATAACAAAAACTCTGTCCAAATATGGGCTTGGATATTGCTTTCTTTGTCACTTTGAGGGTTCTGGCATTGTAGGAACCACTGTTTTTATTACGTTTTCACACTATCATCGGAAGAGGTCAAGTCATGTATCAGTTTAAAGCCCTTGCAGTCGTGGTAGCCTTTCTTCAGTGGAGTGTAGAGAAAATGGTTTGATAAATTTAGTCTAATTCCGAGCGAATAAAATCAGCAAGCCGGACTATAATACGGAAATAAAACGAAAAATTGGTAATACCATGGTTTGACATGTAAAGGTGGTGCAAGAGCTTCTGAACCAAAGAATTCTGAAAAAAAAATTGTCCTCTCGATACTGAATAGCGTAATCAATTTCGAGTATCTTTCTGGAAATGGCGTTTGAGAAGTCAAAGAAGCAACCATTGATTTCTGTGTCCGGAAGTTGTTGCTCTCAGAATTGATGCAAGCCATTTGAAGTTCGAGCAGAAAGCTTTATACGTTTCCTGTCATTTATCCGGGAGAAGGGAATATATACAGGAGAAAGTTGTTACATCCACAACGCAATGTACAGTGTATATTTGGTAGAAAATATTGGGCCAGCATTTTTTGAGATTCTATCGATAAACCAGTTCCCATACGAGTTCAAAACTTTGATGTTTTTTTTTTGGCGGCCAACACCAAGTATCGCTTACCGCAGAACTGTCAAGTCTTCTGGAAGAAAATCATTCCCTTTCATAGTCTGCATATACTTCTATTGGAATATTTGGTCGACATTTGTATTGGATTCTTTACATCCTTAGTTTGAGGTGAGGTACCACTAGCATCTTTGAAGACCGTTCTGCTAATTGAGTACACAAAATTTTGGTACCCCCTTGTGCATACTTTGGCACAATAAACAAGATGGTTTTCTAGGGATTGGGGACTTCTTTTCATACCATTCCGCACCCCCATTTAAGTCATTTGAAAGCTGGAGTCTTAAAGTTGTTGAAAAGTCATGTCAAAATGCCAATGCATGTTTAAATGGAATCAATAGAAAAATCTTATCTCAATGCGTTTGTATACAATCATATTTCCAAAATAATTAAAGTATGTGAGATTTAGTCCAATGGGGTATTTTGTCCTGAGGGGTTTAGTTCTAGACCCGTACGAGCTATTTCTAGAACTCAAACGGTTGTATTGTATAATTATACTTCCGAATTTCCAACTTATTTAGCTATTTTGGATTCTATGTAGGCGTTGCATTCAATTTTTACGATATGCCTTTTTTGCCGAAAATTTTTGGCTGAGTTAGTTTCATGGCTGTCGGTTTATATTCTCAAATTTGCTAACTAAAAAGTTCGAAAACACTATATGGAAGTTTTTTAGCTTATTTTTGAGCCTCACGGTGCTTTCATCTTATAACTTTTGTATCGCAAGTGGTGCGAAGCTCAACTTCGCCCCTGTGCTGAAGCTTCTTTCAGCGCGTTCTTAAAATTGTTCCGATGTTTTTTTGCTTTTTTTTATTCATTTTTGAAAACAACTTGTCAAATATATATTTTACTTCTCAAATATATATTTTACACCTACTATAAAAAGACCTACTTGCTAGGCTTTGGTTCAGAACGAACAAAAAACATCATAGTTTCAAAAAAATAGAATTGTTTTTTGAATTTTCGTGGTCGGAACTTTCTGTGCTCCTTGCATAGCAACCGGCTTTGTTTGTTGTCTTGCTCTTCTGGGTTAAATTTTTCATCACGGTTTTCGTGATTTCTTGAGTTCCAACGGTTGGATAGATAGCCTCAAGATTGGGCGTTGAATATACATAATGAATTTGTTTTGCTTTCAAGGCAATTTTTTATTTTTTTTTGTGCAGCTTCGTTTTTGTGTTTAAAACTTGTTAGTTAAAGGATGTTATTATTCTATGATTTACTGCAAAAATCAAAATAGAATAGGTTGAAAAGTTTTTTCAAAAAATTGCCACTTGCTCATAATTTGGTTATTCTTGCTGTTATTATGCACCATGGTTGTCTCGTTTTAACCGCTGTTTTTTCCCTGAGGATTGAGTTTGTTGGATGATTCCATTCAATTATTATTTGACTAGGCTTTCTTTTCTAATCGATTGATCAAATTGTTCGTAATTTATTGATTTGATTATGCGTAAATGTTCTTTTAAATCAGTAGTTTTTCTCGGTATATGACTGCTCTTTCCATGCTTTTCTCTTTCATTTTTTCGAGTTCATGTGATGATTAACGAGAAGCTCTCGAGATCTTAAGAGCCTCACAGCCAGAGCTCATTTTTTGAGATATCTTGAGCTTAAAGTGAGGCTTAAATCTGCTCTAAAAGCACCTGCTTTACGAGCATCGATCAATGATGAAGTTAGCCAAATCTGATCTGCATATTTCATGAACAATTTTTAGCTTCTTGTTTTTGTCATAAATTGAGATATTGATGAAATATGTGGTTGCAATTGAGGCTTTTTCAAGGATTTCCTGGTGTTATCCAACTCGTACAATGATCAACACCAGCAACAGCAACAACAGTCAGTGGTAGCTCAGGCAGCTATCAATCAGTTTACAGGGGCCAATGCATTGGCTGCAGCCGCTGCTCTCAACAATGGAACATTCAACGCATACCCGAACCAAAACCTAGCTGCTTATCAAGGTAACCTCTAGATTTTAAGGTGTACTATAGGTTGCTGGATTCAATTTATTAAGAGTCGATGAACGTAGTGAAGACTATAATAGAGGTCCTAATGATTTTTTTTTCAGGAAAAGTCAGCTAAAGCTTAATTTTTTTGCAATTTGAGGTTTCCTTTTTTAAAGTTCAGTTCATTTTCTTAGTGAAAAGGAAGGCAAACCCAATATAGAACAGCAAAAGTGTGAAGGTCTCGAAAAACGTGATCATTTTCCAGTTTTTATTCTGCTGTGAAATCTGATTGTTAGCTTTGTGATTTCACAGCAGATTTAAAAATTTAAATGATGATCCTGTTTTCTCATCTTGGGTTAATTTCATCCGAAAGATTGTCCACCCTAAATTACTCTTGAAATTTGAAGAGCATATATATATATATATATATATATATATATATATCATTGAAATGCAAAAGTTGAAATTGTTCAAATGAAGTTTTTGTTTCTGTTTCCTGGCATTCCTTGACTATTTTCCAACTTCTGTTGGATGCTTCCTGTTACTACTGTTCTCAAGGTTATCAAGAAAGTATTCAACTGTCCTGTGGCGATCATCAGAGGTTTTCTTTTTAGTTGAATTTGAAATGTTGTATATCTTGTTGACTGTTTAGTTGCAGCAGCTCTACAAAACCAGCTAAGTGGAATTGCACCGGCCATCTCGAAGCCGAACGTGGCAGGGACTACCCCTGCCATTGCGTCTCCTCAACCCACACCGACTCAAGTGCCATCCACGCTGTCCAATTTAATGGCCGTCACCGAGCAGCTCAGCAACATTCCCCCAGTCACCGCCGCACAGAACGGAACAGCATCCGCAAAACAGAACCTCCCACCTCAGCAAGTCCAAACAACACACATACCCGCAGCTGCACCGGCTGTATCTGGCGCCCAGTTGGAGAGTTTGGCAGCCTCCAACGGAAACGGGGCTTCCAGAGGAGCAAGTCCAAAGCTGTCCTCCAACCCCACACCTCCCAATCTCAGCGCTGGCGCGGACTCCACTACGACTGTGGTGGTCGGTGCAACCCAGCAGACGGCCAGCAATGGGGATGCGTGAAGTGGAACGAGAATTGCGTGTCTGAAAAAGCTGCTGAGATTCGGGCGAGGAAGTGACCTCGATCTAAGTCAGCTGCTGGAACCGCAAATCTGTTTCTAAATGTGAACTGAAGTGGAACTGCTGATTTATCCAAATTGTGTTTAAGACGTTATTTGTTCATTGTTTTCTTTCTCAAGGTCTAATTCATAACTATATATATTTCTTTTTTTTCTGATGTGATTCAAACATAAAATTTTGTCGATGATCGGTAACTAAAAATCAGCTCATTGAAAAACTTAGCATGATCATCCTCAGAGATAGTGTCGATGCGTGTTTTGTTAGTTAATTAAATTTACTATTATTTATACGTTATTTATACATACATTGTATATTTGTTGAGTTCGATGATTTTAGAGAGATTTAACGCGAGGAGAAAAAGAGACTTATGGCGTTTTTGAGTGTAGATATCAATCTAGCCAGTAGATGAAGAGATGAACTAAATTTAACTGTGGCTAAAATACGTGTTGGTCGGTTTACCGTAGCTGAATATCTGAAGCTATTTGTATGGTGACTCTGATGATGCTAATATAAAACAGTGCGATAGACTATTTCTCGAGTTGAACTGAACGGTTTCATTTTGAAGAAAGAGGAAAAATGTTTTGCTGACGATTTAACCTTATTAAAAAAAACAGCCACACAAAGCAAAATGTCAAGCTAATGTTGAGGCAAGTTGTTCTCGTTGCTTGGATTTCTAAAGCCTACTCAGAAGATTCAGTGATCTATCTGTTTTGCTTTAGTTTTTGTTCAGTTCGACTTTTTTTGCCGTTGACTGACTATCTTTGTTTTGATGGCGTAAAACCTGTTCTGTGATTCAACATTATCACCTTGTATTAAATTAAAACTGTTGATTTTCAAATTTACTCTTTTCATTCATCTCTTCAGGATTGGCGATGATGGTCTTGCAATCGATTACTAGTCTTTTTCCCGTAAGTAGCTTTGTTCACACAACTCATCTCATGAACCCTCAACTCATTCATCTACTGGGCCTGTCTGTTGCAAAAATTATATTTTGAGCATGTTAGCTTTTTAAATGTACCGCCTATTCTAAATCTGTTTTTTATGTTGGTTGTAATTTTACCAACTCGGTGTTTAAATTTCAATTTTTCGATTTTTTTTCCGGCTCGATAGATTTCGGTGTATTTTATATCGGATTAGTAGACTCTTATTGCATCAGTTGATGAGTGCAATAAGTTTGCGTGTTCGGAAGGGTAGGGGGACTGAATTTTTTTGTCAATTAAAAAAATTAGGATTGGGTGTATGCTTAGGTAGTATGCTTAGGCTTTATTACAGCATGGTAAGTTTTGCGACGAGGCAGATTTTACATTGGCTGGACATGTTTTTTTAACAACTATCTTAATAACTGTTGCAAAAATTATATTTTGAGCATGTTAGCTTTTTAAATGTACGGCCTATTCTAAATCTGTTTTTTATGTTGGTTGTAATTTTACCAACTCGGTGTTTAAATTTCATTTTTTCGATTTTTTTTTCGGCTCGATAGATTTTGGTGTATTTTATATCGGCTTAGTAGACTCTTATTGCATCCGTTGACGAGTGCAAAAAGTTTGCGTGTTCGGAAGGGAAGGGGGACTGAATTTTTTTGTCAATTAAAAAATTTAGGATTGAGTATGCTTAGGCTTTATTACAGCTTGGTAAGTTTGCGACGAGGCAGATTTTACAATGGCTGGACATGTTTTTTTAACAACTATCTTAATTTGATAGATCTAGTTGTATCGCACGCGCAATACAATTGATAGATCTAGTTGTATAGCGCGTGCAATCTTTATTCAGTTGAATTACAAGCAAGCAAATTGCAAAGCTCTTTCTTCATACTATTCCGCTTATTTACTCTAGCGTCAATTTAGTGTGTTATTAAGAACCTTCATTTTTTTCTAATCTAAGTCGCAAATATTGGTGCAACTTTTGGGGCACCTTTACAGCTTTTTGATAGCATGTGCTTTGACTTTCCAATAGTAATAAGTTAACAGAGTGGATGCATTTTAGTTCATCAAATGAACCGAAAAAAGCTATGTTTTAAACATGACATTCATACTTTTAAACATGACAAAATCAACTCGAGTTCAGAAATTTTCTAACTCAATTTATCTCGCAATTTTTTGAAATTCATAATTTACACATTATGTTGCTTTATGTTTTGCGATTTGTTACATGCAAAGTTAGCGTGGATACCTTCAGTTTATTATATTCCCAATTATTACTCGCAAAATTGTGTCTATTTGTACTTGGTACCACATTTGCTGAATGGCTTTGGCATTTTTATTAGAATTTGTAGCTGCTTTATTTGTGACTAGTGTTTGTCGGTGGTCAAGTGTGCGTCGCTGAGTGGTTACTGCGTGAGACTCAAAATCTCTTGATTGCGGTAGGTCGCAGATCGAATTCTAGATCTAGCCGATTTTTTTTGCTAATTCGAGGCTTAGTTCTATTTTTTTTGCACTTTCTAGAGCTGCTTTTTGTCGTGTTCCCGCTAGTGTTTGCAAAGAGAATCCTCGCTTCTGTGTTACTTTTGGTATAAGCAAGTGTATTGCACCTGGTACTAGTGGAAATTTTAGTGTGAGTGACCGAAGTGACTGTTTAAGTGTCCATGAACAAGACGAAAACATGTGCAATAGTTTTATGTTTTTAGGGAGTTACTGAAAATATTTAATTTGCTCTGTTTTGCTACTTGAGTTCTTAATATAAATTAATTTTGAAATTTCGAACGCTCTGAAATTGTTTGCGATTAAACAATGAGCAACATACATAAACTTGTGAAAACGCACTAAAAATAGTCCAATAATTACACTAGCAATGAGTTTGGTGTAATATTTCTAACCTAACTCGTAAATAAAAGTAATCATTAAAAGTGTTCGGAAATTCCACTGTAGCTTTGGAAATTGCTTAGCGGAGCAACTTGATGAGTCGTCATAAAATTTGGATTATGCGTTCCCTGGACCCTTAAAATTCCTGGCTGGAAGTCCAAAGTATGCATCTGGCTATGTAATCTGGGATCATAGTACATACTTAATCAAAAGATTATTCCCTTTAAAAAAACTATGTACTTTAAAAACTACTTTAATCATCAACGTTGTCTGCTCCGTAGAAAACTATGATTTAGATTTCCGTTATTAGCCTGAGTAAAGTACTATCCCGGGTATACATTACGAGGCCGAACTGTGCACTGGATATGCGCACCATTTAGTGTCTCTATGTTCCTGGATTCCAGTGACAAACCTTTAAACCGTAACACGACAACTCGCAACAAAAGACAACTCGCAAAAAACACCACTCATATAATTTAGCAATTACGACAACTCGCAAAGGACGATAACTAGCAAAAAACTCGTAAGATAATGCTTTAAAAATACCTTAACAAAGATCCATAATCTCCCACTAAATTTCAATTAATTTTGTACTTAATTCAAAACAGTTATTGGGGAAAGATATGAGTCTTTTTGTTCGTTTAACAACAATTTTTTTTCATTCGCAACAGTGTAAACTTAACCTAAAATCAAAATAAATTGGTTTCAAATGGTGCTAGGAAAAGTTTTTCGTTGCTTGTTCACAGTTGTCATCCTGTGTTTTTATCTTCAAACATCTCATATTCTTCAAAATAATATGCAAATGGTGTCGAAATTCTAATATCATAGGAGTCAGTTATGCGCGATGAAAGCCCCAGTTAACAGCGTGTGAATTTTTAGAATGCCATTCCAATTGTGTAACCATCCTCAACGCCGAGGGATCGCCATTTGGATCTTGTGCCTCTTAGTATAGCGAATGAAATTCTACATCTCACCCAGCACATGACATGACTATATGGGCGGTCCCATTTTGATGCCAGACCATCTGCTAGTCGTTTGAGGAAAAACGTGAACTCCGGTGCCAAAACAACATCTATTGAAGTGACAAGTGGAGTGAAAGACATGTGCTTTTCTTCACAAGCTGGTCCATACTTATTTTTCTTCTCAATCTCTGCAGTTTTCAGTACATTCATGGGATTGCGGTTTTGGTAAAACGGAGCGTCAGTGTCTGTAACACTGATGTCGAACGACGCAGCCGACTGTCTATCCCAACCCCCACGAGCTGAAAGATCTGCAATTAGTGCCGGGGTTCCATTTTCTACATCTGGTTTTTTTACGACAGGTTCTCTTGTCACATCTTTCCACAAAATTGAAGCAAGATCGCCCACTGCGTCTCTATTTCGTTGTGTCGTAGTGTTACCAGTCCGCCCTTCTTGCAAGAAAGTGCATTCTGTAAGTCAAAATCTTGTTGACATCCATCGCATCTCGAGAAAGAACGTTTGAATGGTATTCTGTACCTGACACATAGAGCGTCTCTGAACTCTGTGGCTGACAAATCAAAATTATCTTTCAACAAGGGCAGTGAAGTTAGCCACAAGGAACAACTGTTGTCGATTATTCTCCGGATCGCTCGTTTCTGATCTGCTGGTAAAACTGCAAGCAATTCATCGAGTTTATCTTTGTCCACAGCATTTTGTTTCTCCTCGTGGTTTTTTCTTGCTTCTCTCATCTTTGTTTTGTGTAGAGTTTGGTCGAAATTTGGAAAAGGATCGAACTCACGAGACAGTCAGTTGCTTCACGTGAAGTGGAAAATGTTAGTTCGGCACCTTCTATTGGATTTCGCACACCTAGTCCCCCTCTTTTGACAGGAAGTGAATACAAAACACGATCTGAGTGTGTGACACTAGAAGTTCCTAGTAAGCTTGGCAAAAAGTTTTCCTCCAATATCTTCTCGAGAGGAGCAAACAACTGCGACGTATCTTTGACTACTCTCTGGACAAAATTCCATTCGCATTGCAGTGATCTTGTTAATCCCACTAAAGCAGCTTGAGGTTCTTTTTCTGCCACTTTGGACAACTCGCCAAGACAATCCAAGCATTCTTGGACCTTTTTTAAAGTGAAACGAATTTTGCCTTCATCAGAGCCAATAAATCCGCCTAAATATTTTCTGCCTTCAACTATTCTGATGGCGAACCTGTCAAACAATTGATGAGCTTTTTCAACAAAGTTCGGGTGAACAACCAAATAACTTTTGCTTGGCTCGGGGTAATAGCCATACTTCGGGCCGTTTTCAGTCAAAGATGACAACCATTCAACCAGGTTTTGTAGTGCGCCGAGAAATCCCGAATCATCTGGATACCATGTTTGTAAATACTTATCTCGGTCTTTGAGTGATTCAATCAATGGCATCAATGAAACCCCATAGAATAACATCGCTAGTGGATCACCCTGTGTAGTGCCTTCACTACTAAAAAGAAGTTCTGTCGTTCCTGCAACAATTAGCGGCGCATACCCTCTATATGTGTTGAAAAGAAATCGTGAGCACCTTGGCCAAAGTATTCTAGCATTCCATAGAGCCGTTTCCCTGTTCAATGCATTGAATGCATTTGAGGCATCCATCAATAGAAGACCATGTCTGTCCTCTTTGGTGCTATTAAACAACTCCTCCACTGCGTGTACAGCTCCTTCTATTCCTGCTTTCACACCACAAGCTAGTTGTTGAGATCCACAGGTTTCTTCGAGATCTTTTTTGGTCGCTTCGGCCATACATTTACACATTACTCTTCGCAAACACTCACCTATTCCAATGGGTCTAACTCCGGGGCACTTTTCCAAAGCGATCAGACGACCTGACATCAATGCTCGTATTTGGTTCCATGCAATAATTTCGTTAGCTATCTTTGTGATCAGCGCTGCCACTTCGTCTCTCAAAGCCGAAATGTGTCCTCCAAATCGAAGAAATGCGTCTTTCCAGTGTTCCGAATCTGTTCCTGAAGGTACGGCTCCACCGTGCATTGACCTCGCAAATTTTTCTATATAAGAAGAAGTGATGGTTACTGTTTCTAACTCAGGCAAGCTGTCTACTTGTGTTCTTGCTTCTTCTTTTGACTGTTTTGCTACGGGATGCTTTTCTTTCAGAATGTCGATGACTAATTTTCTTGTTTTTGTTGTGGAATCAATAACTTCGTCATTTGGATGGAGCAAACCTCCGCCAGATCTGCTTGTCAGCCAACGCATGGCAGATCGAACTTTCCCTTCCATCATCATTCGTGCAAAAACCGTGTGCTCGTCTTCAGATCTGTTTTTTTTTTCATAGGTTTCCTCGGTTGTTTTTGTGAACATCGTTTGGCTTCTTGTAGTAGAATATTGAACTTACTATTTTCCCAGTCTTCAAGTCGTCTTCCTATCGAAGCTCTCACATCACGTGTGGTTTTTATCATTGGGTCCCGCTGTAAGATTAACAACAAAAATTGATTCCAAAACATTGATTGCTTTTTTTTTAATCGTTTTTGGTTTTTAAATATGTTTCTACTCTTTCGAATAATGTTGCAATTCACTACGCGTCAAATATTGACCTTTGGAGATGAAAAACTAATGAAGTTGAATTTAATGAGAAAAACGGGTTATTAACCTGGAGATGCTCGAAAAGACCCTAAAAATTGCATTTGCAAAGCAGTTAAAATCGTGGGAGAAAACAAACACTGACAAATAGCTTCAGAAAATAGTCCTCACTATTTGTAGTACATCTGGAGAGCAAAAGGTAAATTTGCGAGGAGTGCGCAGCAAAAATGTTCAAACTTACGTCGGTTGCAAAAGCGATTCAACGAGAAAGAATCCTTGGAGTTGTGCTAAAGACCGTAGGGGATATCGCAGTTCCTATGGAACTTCAAACCATTCTAAGGGAGAACCTCTTGGTTTATGACTCGGGTCCGGGGATTCCGACCAACTTTTTGTGTTCACCAGTGAGGCAAATTTGGACATTTTCAAGCATTACACAACTTGGCACGCTGATGGCACATCAAAAAGTTGTCCCTCTTTATTCTATCAAGTAAATACTGCACACGCTGTTATAAATTACTGCTCCCTCCCGATGGTTTACTTTCTGTTACAACGAAAATTTCAGCAGAAATATCAACGATCAATTCATGTGTTATGTGAACTGAACCCCTTATTAGAGACAACAGAAAATGTTATTGATTTCGAAAAAGCACTAAATTTTGCTTTTAAATCGGAGTTTATCCACAGCGTCCGTGAAATAGTGCTTTTTTTTTCATTTTGCGCAGGAGTAGGTTTAGCCATTGAATACAGAAAAGACAAAGCTGTTAGAAAGAAAGTGAAATAATTTATTGCGCTGGCTCTCATTCCTGAATAAGACTTGAAGTTGGCACTAGAAGCTCTCTACACAACAAAAACTGCGAATGAGCAGCTTTGGTCATATCTCGTTTATTTCGAAAAACGGGAATATGAACGTGGAATTCTACGAAAAGATCCAGATTTCAAACCAACTATATGGAATCAATTCAGCAAGGCAAAAAATGGAAGTAAAAAAAATCAACAATTTGGTCGAAGAATGGCATAGAGCTTTTCAATAGAGAATGAGTTATGTTCACCCCACTCTACTAAAATTCCTTCAACAAATAAGAAAGAAGCAAAGTTTAACCGGGAATTGCTTGATTTAGTTCAAATCCGGAGAAAAGCTTTCTAAATGTCCTTAATATGAACAGTTGCAACAAAGGATATCAGAAACTCTAAAACATTATCAAAATTTTTATCTAATTTCGCTGCTGGAATCTCTTTAATTTAACTTTGATCTGTAAAATCACTTAATACCCAAGATGTTTTGACGCCTCACAGGAATTGAGGTTTCATCGCTTTTTTTGTTTCACATTTAGATTAAAGGGAATTTTAAATTTCTTCCGCGATTTATAGAGTTGTCTCTTTTCGCGAGTTGTTTTTTGTTGCGAGCTGTTGCTGTACCTCTCTTAACATGTTCCAAAATGTAAGTGGATTCCGCTGACTTCTTCCAAAGTAGGAACAACAATGAATTGTACCGAGGTCTAGCAATAAACTATGAAAACAGTGCGATAGATAGTTTTAATTAGTTAATAATACAGCGATTGGGTCTATATTTGTAGGTCGTTTTTTAGTGAGTTCGTTTGTCATTTGTTCTGTGTGAGGATGTGCTTGAATTGGTCTCTTTGTTTGGACACCCACTGGTCGAATGATAGTAAAGATGGACAGAGGGAGCGGGTGAGGTCGATGTTGTGTCTCAAGTCCATCCTGCTCATGAACTCATACATGTTTGCAATGTCCTCACTCCCCGGCGTTTCCGCCCCTTGTTGTCGCAACTCATTCACAGTCATCTAACACAATTACAGAAAACACAGAATGTATCTTAGAAATTTGTGAGATATTTTTTAATGAAAAAGGTACAAAATAGAAAACGTTCAGTGGAATGGTACAGCAGAACCGAAGTTGCGACCTAAGTTGAACCTAATAATTATTCTGCGCTAACTTTGGCGTCTCTGATGTCGGCTGGATGGAGCTGCCGACTCATGATGGATGCCATCTCTTCCACAGTGAGTTTGCCGGCAGACACTGCGTAGTCCTTGCCGAATGCTTTCGGTCCCTGGGCCAGAATGCCCCCCACTATCTCTCCTACATGCTCCAAACTGATGCCGTCGAAGGCAGTCTCTCCCATTGGGATTTCTTCAGAACACAGCAAAAAAATATTGTTTGGTCTCGAAAAACATGAAACGTATAGAAATTTTAACGTTGTCATTTATTTTTGAAAACGGTTCCCTGTCTCATAATACTATTGAGTGTACACAACCGCAGTCATCAAAAAACTTGGATTTCATAAAGGCCCATAGTGAAGGTGTTCGACTTCAATGTCGACCAAGCCGCTGGAACACGCGAATATTATTCGACCTATCTATAGCTGATTTAAATTATTAGCCCAAAAAGGAATAAACTTGAAATTCCAAAAGCGTTTTACTCAAATTGGGCTAAGATTAGTCAAAATGCAAATCCGGAACCAAAATTAAGCTCCAAAAGTTAGTCATTCTGGCGTTAATCAAGAATAACGCTAAAACTATCAGTTAATTGATAAGAAAATGATATCAAAATAAGCCTCTGACACAGTCCAACAAAGCTTTAGAATGGTAAAAATCTCCAAAATATTTGAAACGGTTTTTAAACTTGAAGATTTTGAGTTTTATTAAGTAAAAATGATGTTTTTGGCAAACAAGAAAAAAATATTCTCATAACTTTTTGGAGATTTTGTTGGGCTGTGCTGGATGCTTCTTCTAATAAAGTTTTCTCATCAATTAACACCTGGTAGTTCAAACGTACAGCAGAAAATGAACTGACTGAGAAAATATTTGTGGCCACTGTATCTGACTGGTTTGTGCACTGTGAAGAGAACTTCATAAGGCACTGGAAGAATTAGTCCTGTGGATGGTATGGCCAGTTTTCTGATCTGTCGCTCTATGAACTCCTTGGCGTCATTTTGTCTGGCCAGAATTCCAATAGAGAATTCCACAGTCACATGTGTCAAATGTATTAAATGGGAGATATTGGCTGCCTTACATTGCTCCACCACTAAGATTCCCCTCTCAATCTAAAGGAATAAATGTATAGAAAAGAATAAAACCATTAGAAAAATGTGCCAGTGTTAAATTTTGCGGAACAGTTTTTTGGAAAAAAAACTAAATCTGAAACTTGGAGAGTCGATTCCTCTGCAAGTAGCAACAGATGTTTCGACTAAATTCTTAGCTACAAAAAAGTTTTCGTTCAAATTGTGTCGTTTTTTGTGCGTGGTGTGATGAAAGGATCGGAACGAAATATTAGAACAGCCACATTTGACAATCATAGTGAACAAAGCAAATTGGACAACATTTTTGTAGAAAAATGGTTAGACAAACAAAAAAAAATTTGAAAAAGTTTTTTCAGGCTTTATTATTCCAAAAATGGCGCAAAAAAGTAGCCTTATTCGAGCAAAGCAAAGTTTTCTCGGCTTCAAACTCAGCACAAATGAAAATTTTCCTCCTATTATAAGCTTGCTCGCTCGCTTTGTTTGCTCGAATTGAGACAAAAAACCAAACATTGAACCCGTTTTTTTTACCGACATTGGGGCAATTTTTTTAATGTCGCTGGGAACAAGGCTGGGAACAAGGTTAAAATTGCCGATACACTCGCCCAAAGTTGTTAGTGGGCAGAAGGCAAGTTTGTTCATAGTTTGCAGCTGATGATAAAACAAAAGTTTAATTTCAGCCGACGGTCACTGTAAAATCCTTAAGAATCAATTGAACGAACCTCATTTTGTTGGAAGTTTGGTTCTGTGAACACTGTTTTCGTGGCTAGGAAACAGGCGTAGCATCCATGCAGGATATTGAACACAGTCTCTTTGTTGAATTCGTCTGCAATGTGCACTTCAACTCCATTTTCTTTCAATGATTCTGACCTGCTATCATCCCCACCATCACTCAAAATCACAGCTTTCACTCTAAATACAAAACTACATCTGGGCGGATTCTAATCTGAATCCTACCAATGTTTAGATGATGCCAATAAGCGATCTTAATTTTTTTTTAAAGTCGTTGACCAACGAAGATGTAGCAGTTTGGTTAGTAAATAAAATGGCAATCTGGTGCCTGGAGTCGTCACTTTATTATTTGACTAATTTTTTGTGCAGATGTGGATGTATCAATAATTTTATTGGTAGCATTGAATTCTAATTAAACCAGGAGAGTATCTAGAATTTTTTCGAGGGGAGATTTTCATAAAACTTCTAATCTTTAGTCGAACCTTTTTATGACAACCAAGTTTATTTCCCGATCTCTCCCAAAGTACTAAGACTCGATATCCCGATTTTGCCTCTCTTGGGTGGGGTGCCACAGGCGTATCTTTGAAAAAAAAACATCTTCAATTTTTCGGAACGAGCTTCCCTTTCAAGTTTTGTATATATAGTCGCCCAAGGCCCAGTTGGAAATATTTTAGGATTAATGACCAAAAATTGGTGTCAACAATGATTTAAATCCAATTCATTCTCAATTAGTTGTCAAGGGGAGGGGCAGTGTTCCTCCTTTGATATCTTCTGGGGAATTGGGCATGTGAACTGCAGTCTGAATTATTTTGTAGTGCTTCAAGATACTTCAAACATCAATGCCCGTAACATTCGCATTTTTGCCGATGATAGCAGCACCCTACCCCCTCTTTTGTACTGACTCACCTGTAGTGGGAGCTGAGCCCCATGGCCACTCTGAAGCCCACTTCATTATTCACAGTGAACACTGCAACACTCTTCTTGCTATCATTGCTCCCCTCTCTTCTCCCTTCAGTCGAATCTGTGGCAGCTGTCATTCTCTGCAACCGATTGATGTTCTAGTCAGGGGCGGATCTAGGACTTTCTCGAGGGGGGCGGATTTTCAAAAAATGTTTAAAAATTCTGTCGACCTGTTTTTTAGGTCGACCAATTTAATTTTTTGAGCTCTCCCAAAGTACTAAAAAGACCCTGGTTTGGCCAAAATTTCTGCGCCGCAGGCAAAATTTTGGAAAAAACAGGCAAAAGACAAGCATTTTTAGGCACTTTTTAAAAATTTTTGACCAAAAAATTGCGTTTTTTCGGCGCGCGCTCCCCTTCAAAATTAGTATATTTTGGCGCCAAAAGCGCCATTAGAAAAATATTGGGGTCCGTCAGTTAAAAATGGATATTTTGAAATAGTTCAAAGGGGGACTCTTTGGGTCGGCATGGGGTCGAATCCCTGAGGGGAAGAGGCTTCCGCCCCCCCCCCCCCCCCCTAAATCCGCTCCTGGTTCTAGTAATTCGGAAGGATTTAAGATAACTCGAATGATGAATAAAAATTCAGTTTTGTTTTCAAAAAAATTGTTGTTTTTTTTCCAAGTACAGCCCCTTTAACTATACAATGATTTAATGAATCAACGCAATTCAGAAAATGCAGATGTAAAGCTTAGTTTATATTTTGATGGTTTTGATATGCTGTTACATTTTTTGATTTGATGTAAAATCGATTAAGATAGTAACTGCACAAAGACTGGCTAACTTCACATGATTGACTTTATGAAAATTCAAGTATAGTACGTCTCCAGACAAGAATTTTCTGTTGGTTCGTAACTCTCTTTTCAATGGTTCTTTTAAAAAAGCTGCACGAGCTAATCGATGGCTCGATGCCTCTCAAAAGTAGCAGGCGGACAAACGAAAAAAAAAACACTGTGCCATTAGTTAAGTGTCAAATATATATTATATTTCATATAGCAGCAGAAAAAGGAGGGCTTTGCTTTATTTAGTGGTGCCTACTTTTCCAAAACAGATAGTGACCTTTTTGTTAACTCAATTTGCATGATGGTTAAAATGTGAAAACATTCCAGCACTATTTTTGTGTTTGATCTTTTTGAATCCTATAATTTTTATGATAAACTGTTCACGCTGTCTGCTCCAGAAAGGAGCATTGGATGGGATTTATTTTCAGTCGACGAGACGCTTGCGTCATAAATAATATTTTTGGTGATTAATGAACGCTTTTACGTGGCTAAATAATATTCAATAATCACGCTACTATGGGCGGGACCAAATGGCTGGGAAACCGATGTTAACCTCATGATTGCTTTTTTGAAGATCCCGAAGTCGAGATGCTCGGTTTGTATTTCCAATCGAAATGCCGGACTTTTTAAAAATTGACACAAAACCGAAATATATATAAAGTCACATAAATTTTTTTGTCATTTCAGGTGAGCTCGAAAATTAATTTGATCGATCATAAAAATGGAAAATCATCATAAGTTTCCAATTTTCCTAGATCCGCGCCTGTTTATGCATTTCCATTCTGATTAATATCACCCGGAAAAGTTACTTGCTGGAACGTGTAAAAAGTTTGCATTAGAATAAATCGTATAATTTAATGCTAATTTAATCATAATTTGATCGAGAAAGACGAATCGTTGTACGAATACTAAAAATTAAAAAATTGTGTTGCCAGCCAAATGTGTCTGAGGTGTTTTTTTTCTGCTCGACTAGCATGACCAGTTAGAGCGACAAAAAAAGTTTAAAAAAGTTGTTGATGAAATTGGGACATAAAAGGATGCGCTGAAACTAAAATTGTTTTGTTTCCCGAACAAAAACCAGATAATAACAGAGCATAATTGTGCTGACGAAGTTGTTGAAGTGATTGATAGTCAAACATGAAACAACGGCTGTGAAAACGTTCAATCCAACCATCCAATTCAATATCATTTCGAAGTTCAAAAAATGATTTGAGGTAGAAATTATATATCAGCATGTGTGATTTGCGATGTGCCTTTTTTTTGGAAAAACAGGCGTTTTTGGGCACTTTTTGGAAAACTTTGACCAAAAAGTTGCGGTTTTTTCTGTGCGCGCCCCGTCAAAATTAGTTAAATTTTCAGATTGGTCATCCAAAAATGGATGAAATTAGAGAAATTAGAAAAATTTTCAAAAATTAGAAAAATTTTCAGGTTGGTCATCCAAAAATGGATGTTGTTAAATTAAACCGAAAGGCCCCATTCGGAAAAATTTGGCAACCAGAATTGAGGGGCGGGAAGGGTTGGTCTTATTCGAAAAAAAAGATAAATTCAATCCCAATAGTATTTTTTAAACAATCTTTCAAATAAAAACTACTGAAATCAAAGTTTTTTTCGAATTCAGAAAAAAATTATCAAAACTAAAAACCAATCGAAAAAGCCGTCAAACTAAGATTTCAATTAAGCATGCAAATCGCGTCGCAAAAACTGCTCGATGAGAAATAAATCGTCTGTATTCATTGTGAAAAATATTGACGAGCCTAACGCACATTATGGCTTCGTTTTCTGCAAAATCGCTCAAGCGTGCTCGTTTTTTTTTTTTAAATCTCGGCTTGTGACTTCTGCTGTTTTGCAAATGATATTTTGGAGTTAAACAACTGCATACTAAAAAATTTCGTTTTTTAATATAACCCTTGCTTTTCTGAAATTAACCAACCTTTGCAGATAGTACTGTAGACAGGCAAATGTTATTTAGTTTTGCTCGGTTACCGGCTTTATCTGGTTGTTTTAGCAACGGGAACAAGATATACGTTAGGCAAAATTTGTTGTTTGAAGCATAAGAATTGAAAATTAAACAGTGGTTTGAACTTGCAAAGCGTAACTAAGGCCCAATAGAAGTCTCTGGAATTTGATAGCGAAGTCTCTGAAATGATAAAGAAATTGAAACGAACGTCCTAAAACGTTTGACTATTTCCATTACACGTTCAGTTATCGATTATTTAAATCAAAACTGAAACTGAAAAAAACTGGGATTTGAGATTGGATTTCAATTAACTTCATAAAATTGAAAAATCAAACTGAAAGAAAGTTTTTCGACAAAGTTTGGCGAAAACGGGCATAGGATTACTTTTCTGGCAATTGATTCTGAACGTCTTTTGAACTAAAGCTCAGCTTACTTATTGAACTTGCTGCCGCTAGGTTGTCAGTCGAGATGTCGAACAGTCTCGACATCTCCTCTCGATCAAGTGTCCCGTTCCAATTGGCGAAATCGTGGCCTTGTTCTACGGGAGTAGATTCACTCGTTAACGTCCTATTACCATCTACTTCCGTTCCACGTCCCGCCCGATTCTCATCCAGAGCGGTGTTTGGATAGATCTCCACCTCCAACATTGCCTTTTTGTCTTCCGAGGTCTTTTGGTTCCTTGTTTCAACCATTCCGCCCGAAACTTTCTTCCCTTTTTTGTTCCGAGTCTTCTCGGTCCTTTCCACAAAATGGTCATTCATCGATTTCCGTTGTTTCTTCGGTATAAGTTTCGTAGAGCTATCACTTAGCTTAGGTATTCTAGACTTGTCTAGGCTCATTTCTTACTTTATAGCTACTTACTGCTCACACACTCGATTCGCTCGCCACCAAATTCGTTGTCTGACTACTGATAATATTAACACAACACGACATGTCCAAAACTTTTATTTAACAAGTGACCATGAATCGTATTAAGCTAACACAGTACAGCGTGTATACAGTTTATGATTGTTGATTATAGGATAAAAAATAGCACAGACTGATGATATCAATATATTTATGAGATAATGTACCCAATCGAGAACAATTCTTAGGGATTGAAAACTAAAAAAAATATATTGAAAATTGTATGTGCATTGTAATTGTTCTGTCGCAATTCAAAAGTCGATTTGGTTTTTAAAGAAAGAGCTTTCCTTGTTTAGTGCCGCACTAAACAGACAAAACTTGAAGGCAGTGTTTTTCTCAAGTGGGCAACTAATGCACCCACCGAGCTCTGTGTTAATTATTTGCCCTCGGATTGCTCGAGCTCGACAACTAAAACACTCAAGGCAAACACTCTTCCAAAAACAGATTGAATTTTAATCCAAATAAATCGGTGTCGAAATCCGTTTTCGGTTAGACCTATAGTCGCGAGTCTCCGGCCTTAGACCTGTTTTGGTTTTACTGTGGTCTTTTCAATTTTTATTTAAAGGCAATTTACCAGTGCAGACATTGGTTTCCTGTCTTTTTTGGTCTGCTTATTTCCTAATATCCTAATACTTTTCACTGTGTATCTTGTTTTCGTTTACGTACGTTTTAGGATCCCTACTTTTTCGTTCGTAAAAAAAAGTGTTTCTTGGACCCCTCCGGATAGGCAAAAATAGGACCCCTCCGAATTGACAAAAAACTGGACCCTCCGAATTGGGACCCCTCGGTTTGGCAAAAAATGGCACTTCCAGATTGGCAAAAACAGGACTCCTCCGAATTGGGACCCCTCCGGATTGGCAAAATATGATACACGAGATCCACCCGGATACGCCTTCAGAGCCTATTATGCAAAATCAATTAACTAGGAAGGGTTTGTTCTGGCTCCAGACCCCTTCGCATTGAAGCTAAGCTGCTTATTTAAGAGTTCTCCTTAACTGTGAGGGGTCTTATAACAAGCCTATTTTGACTCGACTGTCGTTTTCGAGGTTCCTTAACCCTTCCCTATTGTCAACAACAACGTAAGAAAGCCTTATTAGACCGTTGCTATCTTTTGGTAGGGGTATAGGGGCTTTCCAATAAAATTTCACACAACGTGAAGGGTCTACCTCAAAAACCGGTAGTTTTGCTATAATCAATCTAAAAATTTTTTTTAAATGCTTTTTTCTTCAAAAAAACAGCTTATGCTTAAGCCTACCTAATTTCTGTTCTAACGGTACCATGATGAACTGAATTGGTCCAGTTTTTGTTAAAGTTATAATGCAAAACGTCTTTTATGATAACTCAAAAAATTTTCAAACTTTTAGATTCCACCTAATTTTTTCCGCAATTTTATCCTATTGACTAAAGTTTATTGATCCGAGCTCAAATGGACTATAGTTTT